TGTGAAAAGCTTTGTAAGTGGTTGTTAACATTTTGAATGTTATCCTTTGGGCGATTGGAAGCCAGTGCAGGGATTTACAGAGGGGGTGGGGGATGGAAGCCAGTGCAGGGATTGACAGAGGGGGGTTGCAGACACTGAGCGATTGGTTAGGTGGATAAGTCTAGCACAGACTTTGGCACAGATGTCACATTGTACCTAATTGTTACCTCCACTAATCCGGGTCCTACATCTACCCAGAGCATCATGAGCCTCTGCACAGCTCCAAACTAGTTTTTGCTCTGTCTTCCCACCTCAAGCAGGACAACCCTGTGCATTCATAATCAGCAGTAATATGTTCACTGGTGAATGTGTCCTGTACCCAACTCCCAAAGTAGCTCTAACCTGTTACCTTCTTCTCCACCCAAAATGTTCCTCTGTTCACCTTCCGGGAACCACTAACGAAGGTTCCTCCTGTTTATGATACTTGAGAATACTTCTACTACACATTGTACTTGAGCATTAGCAAAGTTGCATTCTCTCAAGCCAGAAAACTTGTTTCAATGTCTATAGAAGTTCCAATAAACATAGAAAGTATGCCTTTGGCTGAAGAAATAGCACAAGGTGTATCATGTATTGTGTATATTGGGAACCCATTCTGGGTACACATACAATCAAGTGTAAAAAAGGTATTTCCAAGCTGCCAAGTCATGTTTCTTGCATGGTTTGCACAACACGTGCATATGTCTATGTGAGACACACATAGAACTTGTGGAAAAGTATTAAATATGACATATGGCACAAACATTAATTAGCCTTCATACAACCATTTCACTGATTGCCCTTGTTGGCCTGTTACAAGATCCCCTTAGACCAGACTGAAAGCCATTAAGGCAAAAAACAGATACTGAAATCCTGCAAAATCCCCACATGCTTCTTATTTTGGCATGTCAATGCACAAGTATTTCTTTTCACTGAAATAAAGTCAGACATAAGGCGGTGTGGAGTATAAACAATCACCTGACCTGTGATTAGAGAAACAGTTCTGTTTTCAAATATGGCAGACAGATTCATTCCGAACCCAGATCCTGCAATGATTTATGTAGTTCTGAACACAAAACACACAGGTTGGTTGCTGCATTACTAGTGCCTTTGATGAAGGCTTCATGCACCAGCTGTAAACCTAATTGAGGCCATCCAAACAGCTATGAGATCATATATATTTTATACAGTTAGATAAACTGTTTTTTAAAAAAAAACATGTTCACTTTTCAAGAAACATATTTTCTTTGACCACCAGTGAATGTTTGGTCAATGTCACTGTCGCTGCTTTATGAATTTAATCCTAACTTTTCAAGTAGTCTCTTGTAACATGCATTGAACTCAGTGGATTTAAAAGAACCTGTCTCTTCCCTATTGTTCAAAGTTTACTGCCTCACAAGACATTGAGGACTAATGTTGGCCATACAACTTAATATTTTGCTTTCCCCATAAACAGCATGGATGGTGAAATCTCCCTTGCTGGCTATTGTGTGAAGGCAGCCAGCGCCCGCAGCTGTCAGAATACTTTAACAGTGACTGCAGCTGATTGGCAGACAATTTTCCACTGGCTCCTTTGTCAACAGTCAATTGAAAAATGTATTTTCATTGAACCAGGTGGTGCCAGCAGGGCCACCCACAGATTCCATTTCAGCCAATGCAGCAGGGAATGGCCGACGTTCAATCTGTGCATGGCCAGTTTAAGTATGAAATGGAAGCAAATACTGTATCACCTGTACCTGTTCATGAAAGCAGATTTGTGCTGATCTGTTGATACTCAGTTTGAAATCTCTTTAACTTGCCCCAACAGCAATTTGCCAGCAGAAGACCTATAACCATTCCACTCATTCTACATCAACATGTCTAGTTATGCATTTACAATAAATACATTACTGTACAGCTTTTTCTAGCCTGTCCTATAGTGTCCATGTAGTTCTCTGTTTTTTTTCAGAGTTGTTGTGCAATTACTAGATTTGCCTCTAGAAAGAGATGCTTTTACAGCGGCGTACGCCAACGCTGATCTGTCTCAACATGCAGTTTCCCACCAGCAAGAAACTGTCGTTATCAGATTAAGGAAGATAAGACACGACTTTCTGTAACTGTATCGTATATCACGGCGTGACAAGAGTGGAGATATAGAGGGTGAAAAAAAATAATCCTTACAGTTTACTTGGGGTGTCTAATAATCCTTTTGAAATCCAAGTTATTAATGTACTGAAAGGTTCATTCAAACATGTATATGCAACAGTTTCCATACTGAGACAACAAACCAGAAGTACAAATCCAACCTATGAACAGGTTCTTTAATGGAGACCTGTCATCAAGGCTATATCTCTGATCTGATGCTGCCCTAGGCGCTGTTAGCAAATACTCCACAAATTAGTAACGAAGCATCTAACAAGTTCATTCCATTCTACACACAACGTCTTGACTTTTGATTAGAAAGTAGGTTGCTAAGTAAAGAAAATAGTTTATGATAATTGTGTATAATCTCTATGTTTTACTGCTCTCCTAAGTACTTTATCAATAGGCATGCACCTAGTTTATTTCTACAGTAAATACAAACCTTTCTGTCATTATAAACATGTAATTACTAATATTATTAATTAAGCTTGAGAAAAGAACACAATCCATGGTGTTTTACCTATTTTAACTACATACACTGCAAGGATTTTGGCAAACGTGACCATTCCTGCTTCTATTCAGGGGATATTAAAAACATGTTTTTCCTATAGACTGCTAACATGTTCTGCCAAGAGAACAATATCAGAGAAGATATCAGCTAGTGTAACAAGCATGCTATATGCCTGTTTTATTTCATACTGTTGTCCATCAACATGTTCCCATGTTGCCCATGCTCCCATGAAGAACTATATCACATTTAGTTTACTAAATTTGTTTTGCAATTGTAGTCCACCATGGGAGTGAGCTTGTAGAGTTGACTACTCTACAACACACATAGAGACCATGAGGAACAAAAGTAGCCACCGTCCAGAAGGAAGGACAGTGTCAGCACAAATTCAGAGATTATTTGAGGACCTAAAGCTGAGTGATGCACAAATAAGGTACATTTTTGTTAATAGTTAAGGTACTTGAATGCATTTTTAAGATTTAACTCCTGAGTTTAGTGTCACATGAGTTCATGAAACTGCTATGGGACCCAGTGCCACAAACGGGCCTATCAACAAAGGGACCAATAGAGAGAGTAAGACACAAAGGGGCCAATCGACAGAGAAAACAGAAAGGGACCAATAAGCAAAGAAGACACAAAGGGGCCAATCGACAGAGAAAACATAAAGGGACCAATAAGCAAAGAAGACACAAAGGGGCCAATAGACAGATAAGGCACAAAGGGGCCAATAGACAGATAAAGCACAAAGGGGCCAATAGACAGAGAAAACAGAAAGGGACCAATGAGCAAAAAAGACACAAAGGGGCCAATCGACAGAGAGAAAACAGTAAGGGACCAATAAGCAAAGAAGACACAAAGGGGCCAATAGACAGAGAAAACAGAAAGGGACCAATAAGCAAAGAAGACACAAAGGGGCCAATAGACAGAGAAGGCAGAAAGGGGACAATAGACCAAAGAGACACAAAGGGGCCAATAGACATGAAGGTATCCTCTGCCAGCTTTAATAGTTGGGCATCAAGCATGATAAAATAAATGTTCACATAGTTAAGGAATGTGTGCCAGATCTTTTAAAAACAATTGATATGGTAAAAATAAGCTATAACAAAATGCCATTATATAATTGTATTATAAGATGTAGTATGTTATAGTAACATTGCTGTTCTTTTTATTATTTAGCTATGATTCACAACTTCTCTAAAATTAGCAGAAGAACGTTCATTGCAGTTCACCATAAAATGTTATAGCAAAATAGACATCAAATGCATGCCTCTCTGGCTGACCCCTTCTTTTTTTGTTCACTTCTTGTTTTATCCCCTTGTCTCTGTTCTTCCATAGGGCTATACTTCCCTTCGCAGTTATTTACTTTGACTAATGTCCAGCATTTCCCTTGGCAATACAATCCTAGTCACATCGGGTGGATACAATTATCGTGGTACTGTGATTCATAGAATCAATACCCCTTGCGGTCTTGATACCAAAGATAAAAGAGACTTAATGTTTAAATGGAGAAGAATGTTCCACTACTTATCATGTCTCTTCATCTTTTTGCAGGAAATATACAAAAATGCGACAAGGTTTCCCAAGGTAGGAACTAGAATTTGGCTGGCTCTTCACAATATGATTATTGCAATGTTCACCTACAATAAACCTTTATATTTTCTTATAGCAAGCATGAGTGAGACCATATCCAGCTGTGCTGTGCTATGTGCCATTTGACACGAGTGAGAGGTGGTCAGTGGCAAGCACCATAAAAATCCTAACAGTAAAGGGTTCTGCTTGTGTTCACTAAAAGGAAAGCCTACAGTTAAAGCAATCTTCCACTAGCCACAATGTGGTTCCGTGGAGGCATTTTCCTCCTGTGGAGTCTGTGCTCTCTGACCCCTGAGGCAGATATTTAGAGAGCACTTCATGACTCTGAACAGGTGCATATAACTCTATGGCCACTTCGAGCTTCAGGAGTTGGATGATAGATACTTCCTTTGGAGGAAAAACCAGCCTCAACTGAAATAGACAAGATTTGATCAAATGTAAGAGGTGTCCATTAAATGACATGCTGGATGTGGTTCAGGAGATTCAGCTCCACCTCCCACCTGGCTCATTTTTTATACACCAGCTCAGAAAGTGTCTTAGAAAAGCACTGTCCACACATTGTAAATCTGCTATAGCCATTCTTACACTGGTAGAGCTAAGAGTTTTAAGTTTTAAGGGAGTCAAATTGGCACTGTATGATACCTGCGTGTGAGAAGTATAGAGTACTATCTCTAATTTCAACTGTTTAATCTTACCAGTGTATCATACTGGCAGTTAGGTAAATCCCTGGATCAACTTCTTCATAATGACCATGGCTATTTACCTGCCACTTTGACTTGATTGGAACTGCATGTTCTGCACGGCAGTACTGTGAACTCCTCTGCTTGGTACATTGAGTAGTCTGTGCTGGCGACTACAATGACATCCCCAGCTCTCCAAGAGAGGGCGCTGTCTGCCAGATGTAGGATGGTGCTGTTCACATTGGTGTCCACGATCACTTTTAGTCTTGGCTTCACTGTAACACATTAGTGGAAGTTTGCGTGAGTTTGGAATGGGAAATCCAATTATGAAAACAATGTTCTGCAGTAAAAATTTAAAAAAGAGCATCAACAATACACATTGATTTAGGTCCACATTGTCACTTTTGCCACACAGAGGCCCATGCCTATGATAATGTATGCAAATATAAACTGAACTTATACTTTACAGTGACCTATACATTGCAGGTACAATATATTCCAATAGGGCTCAACATGTTTCACAGTAAGGTGTTGTGTGTATACTCAGGGTCTTCACATAACTTAGTACAGGAATCAGAAAAAAAAGTTGACTTCTATAAATGAATACATTTCTCCAGCTGATGTACTGCCTACGATATACAGCAATTGTATTACGTGTATTATAAATGCAACATCAGGTTTTTATGGAACGCTATGTATTGTTTACTGTACCATACTATTTAAACAGGCATTGGGGAGAAGGACAAATAGACTGAACCCATCCATTTCTACTGAGATATTATAGCTGTATTACCAGCTGTCCAAGATGGTCACCATTCTCTTACTTCATCTACATAAATATATTTCTGTAAAAATTCTTCACTGGTAAATACACCCAGTACATCCTTTGAGAATAACATCATCAAATCATGTTCTTATAATGTGAATTATTTCAGCAGTAGGATTATTGTCAGAATATTTCATTTCGGACAAGCTTGCGATCTAATATAGACGTTCCTACAGGCATAAGAAGTTAAAGTTCAGCAACTGGACACATTTCTTTGTTAGCACCAAAACGGAATGCCTTTGTTAATTTTGCATAGGAACACTACTACCAAATTCCAGAAGGGACAGGAAAAAATATATTTCTTGAAACATGTGGTATAGATGATGCAGTTGACAATTGTGTATGAATGCCAAATTCAGTGAAGCATTTTTTCCAAAACAGATTAAAGATGTGGCTCATCCTGTCTCCACTATCCTTGTGAAGTTTCTTTTTATGAGACAACTAATATATATTGTTTGTTTCATTCTAAGCCCACAGTGGCAGATTAGAGCATGTGTTTTCCAAGTTAAAATGTAAATGATTTGTATTATTGGAAAAGCAATGTTTAATCCTGACAAGACTAATACCTAATTTACGATTAATCTAATGATCTTATGTTGTTCATTGTTTATTTGCAGTAGGTTTCGCAAAGCAGGGACTCTAGAAAACACTTGTGCACTGGCTCAGGGTTTCTTTACAAGCTTGCTTCCATCTTTAATTGTGTATCAACATAGTTGCTGACAATCCCGGTTCTCTGCCCTCTTGTAGAGCCTATTCACACCATAGTGTTGAGCCAAATGCACAGTATCTGTATATTTAACACATGCCATCACATAGTTCAATACACAGCATGCTACCGTGTTTCCCCAAAAATAGGACACTGTCTTATATTTTTTTTGCCCCAAAAAAACACATTAGGTCTTATTTTCAGGGGATGTCTTTTTTTTTTTTTCAATGTGAAACAAAATGTACAACAATCCAAAGTTATCTGGTATCACTCCGCCTGTCACAGTAACCGGCACTATAGAGGAAATATTGGCTAATTGGGCTCTGCTCCCTCCGCCGCCTTGCTTTCCTTTGCCATCAGGGACAGCGGTACCAGCGGTGCAGCAGTGGGGACATCAGACAGTGGACAGCGCAGTAAAGTAGGGTAGCATTTAACAGTACACATTACAGTTCAGTATCATTACATTCAAAAGTGCCTTCAGGGGGACAGCAGTTGGTGAAGTATGGTACTGGAGTGCTCCCTGTCACTGAGCTCGCCATATACTGAGACAATGATGCCGGGATCCGCCCAGCTGCGTGACTAACAGCTGGCTCTGCCTATCTAGAGGCCTATCTAGAGGCAGAGCCAGCTGTTCCCGCCCCCTCCCCCGTCCGTTCCGCCAGTCAACGCTGGCGGATCAGAGCGGGGAGGGGGGAATCCAGCCCCTCCCCTGTCAGGGCAGAGATCCGTGACAGGATCGAGAGGTGAGCGAACGCCGGTATGTGTTCGCTGACCTCCCGATCTACTGAGCCGACATGTGACAGTCTCATTGTCATAGGTCGGCTAGAACTATGAGGTGAGTGAAAAGCACTCACCTCATAGTTCTCCTTTAAAAAATCACTCAACATGCAAATAATGATAAAGTATAGTGATACATAAAAATGCCTTAGGTTTTTGTAACAAAGGTATACCTGACATCAAATAAAGTTATGAGAGTAAAAGAACTAAAAACAAGGAAAAGTGCCTGTCCCTCTTGTTATGCATGCGTTTAAATCTAGCAGGTTTGTGTTATCTGGTGGGAGGGTGTAAGTTACTTGGAAGCATCTTTTTATCTTTGAAAGTTCAATCTGTTCATTGGTTTTATTAGACAAAGAAGTCATCAAACCAGTGCAGAAGGGTAGACATCAAAATAACAAAAGTGTAGCATCTATTAGGAGAAGAATAAGAGGAGGAAGGAAAGGGAAGGGAAGGAATGGGATGAGTGGAAGGAGTGGTGGGGATGTTTCCACTCTCTGACCAGGCACATAGAGACATTTTTATTTCTTTCTGTGTCTCTCGTAGGGAACATTCACTACACTTCCTGTCCCTGTGACAGCAGGACAAGAAATGAGGGAAGCAGTCATAATTGGGACAGGAAGACACAGACAACAATAATAATCTCACCAAGGCTCAAACGCTTTACCATTTTACTAAAAATGCTTTAGTAAAGTCTGTGTCCCCATTGGGGGATTTCCCAACACTTCCAATCCATGTGATGTGAAAGGAAATCTCCCCACCTGGGACACAGATAACAATAACCTGCCACGGTTCTAAACATTCCCTACTCTGTGTCTATCATCTCTGGTTAAAGTTGGGCTTTGAGCGAACGTTGTAGGGAAAGAAGTAGGTCCTCCACAGCCCACCATAAAAATGACTGCAGCTTACCACTGTATTGATTTAATACAAACCAGTGAGATGTTTGTGATTAAGTAAACTAGACTAGAATGAGCATCTGATTAGTTTGAATCTCACTGCTTGCTATAGGCTTTCCAATATTCTTCAAATATACTATATTCAGTCCATGTAGATAAGGCAAACCTTCAGTGTTGTACAAGATGTACCCAGCTGTTCTGAAATATATTTTAATTTAGGAATTTCCCTTTAGATCTGTATCCAATAAAAGAAAATTGGAATGGGCACAAATTATAATCTTGTGATGTGTATTTTAGGGAGGAAAAATAGGTGGAAAAACAAACATTACTGCTTTAGACTTCTCACACAATAACGATTGAGCCAAAAGATTCTTCCAGAGGTGCTTCTGTTGATGTAACTGACAAAGTGTAATTACAACTATGCACAATGAAGGGAATTTATCAAAACTGGAGCAGTTGCCCATGGCAACCAGTCAGCTCCTCTCTTTAGTTTGTTCAGTTAAGATTTGAAAATGAAAGAGAGAAGCTGATTGGTTGCCGTGCACAGCTGCCCCAGATTTTGTCTGCTCCTGTTTTGATAAATTCCCGTCAATGTCTTGTTTTCTGTAAGAACTGATCTTACCACAAAAATAATGCATTTAATAATTACCTTGAACAAATAGGGCCCACAATGTATGGGATTAAAGTATGTGTAAACCCTTACAATGAATGAACTTCTCATATTTGCTATTTTTGGTCTGTTAAATATACAATTGAAGAACTTGGAATACCTTGCTGCTCATTTGAATTACTATCTCTAAATTTTAGAATATTTGGTCACCCCGGCACCTTCTACATTCCTCTGCTGATGTTTTGGACACCTGTTATGGGTGGGATATGGGATATAAAGGTATCCCCTCGCTTCCCCTCCCGTGGCACTGGGGTCAAGACTCTTTTCTTTCTTTTTTCTTACTTTCATTTTTTCCTTTCTCTTCACTTCCACTTCTTGGGGTGTTTTTTTTTTGCTCTTTCTAACTATGTTGTTTAAGGTTTGCATTTGAGTATTTGAGATTACTTCTTGGAAACCAGTGTTGTGCTCAGCTATATTGATTTTAATATTTTGGCTCACATCTTATTCCCTGTGACAATTGAGCTTAACATATAGATGCTGTTGCTACTTTTGACAACCTTGGTTCTTTATCTTAGACATGATAAGCTTATGATAACTTGTCTTTGTTCACTTTAATGAAAAGTGTAATAAAAATAAAGTTAAAAAGAAAAAAACATTGTTATAACTGCCCTGTTAATCTTATCAGACATTTAAAGCTGTCTCGTGTCTTGTGCCATTTCCTGTGTTATATCAAGGAGCCTAATTAGCCCTGTCAGTCCTTATCTTGGGGCTATTAATCAGTTAGGATATATGTTGTGGAGAATAGGATGGGAGGGATTTGAGTAGTTTAGCAAAAGACAACTGGGCAGGGCTGACACCACTCAGTCCACAAAAATGCTGTGTGTTGTCAGCTCACAACATGACTTAGGAGCAGAGTGAATTTTATTTTACTCTTACATACAAAGAACCTTTCTAAAAGCTTTTCAAACTATTAGACCCTGACAGCTCCTGTTAAAATGTCCTAGGCCACTTCAAAGTAATGTAACACAGAAGGATTGTTCCATCTCCATTGTCATGATGTTATGTAAAGAACACCTGACAGAAGCTATTAGATAATGTAATGGTTCACAAGGTGCACATAAGAAGAATAGGGAGTTTTAATAATCTTTCTATTCCGATGAAATGCGCCTGACAGTGATGGATTGCTTTATTACATTAACCTATCTTTACACGGTTTAAAAAGAATTTGGAAAAATGTCAGGTTCTGCAAACAATCCACCAAAAAGATGTCATGCCCATTTTCTCACAGTTACAGGAATACTGCAAGCTCTAAGTGTCGTCATTCTGTTAGGTTTGGAAATCAGATTTGTATTTCACGATTCTAATTGAGTTTATACAAGATCAATTTTCGTCTTTCATTCCAAGAGATTAAACACCTCTCCATATAAGGAACACTTATAGCATATCTCGTTGTGGTCAGATTGCCTGTATTTCTAGGTCTGCTCTTGCTAAGGTGTTATATTTATTCAGAACTATTTCTGTTAGAGCACTAAGGGTTGCACATTGAACTTGGTATAGAAAAACAAATCTCGCAGGGTATTTAAAATGGTCCTACGTATTAGACAGGAGTAAGGTGACCTAGGAGTGCTAGATGTTGTCAAATATCTTGCAACTAGCCTATATTTGTATGGCCACTTGTATGACCCATAATATCATTTTCTTTATAGAAACTATTATTGAGCCATTAAAATATTCAATTTAACCCTAATAGCCAGACAGCATGTCTTGGCCAGTGCTAACACCGTGGTCATGGGTTCAAATCTTTCAGTATAAACACACTATCAGTCTCTCACAGGCTGTTTTCTTTTGGTGGGAGTAGAGAACAATATAATAATTCCTGTAAATATGATTTAGTTACCTCCAGTTGAAGCATTATGCTGCCTCTCTAAGAAGGAACCTGCATTCTGAGAGACCTACTGTATAATATTTGATTTCCTGTATTCCATTCAACAATATATAATAGCTGATATCTATAACATATATTGGTGGGTTTACCAAAGGATTCATTTCCAAAGCATGCATACATGTTAAATTGGGAAGAAATTGTGACTAGTGAGTTTCCCATCTCAATGTAAGCGCTATAGATTGTGGAGCTAAAACCTATGCACAATCTATAGAGAGAATTTGTATAAAGTTACTTTTTTATGGAATACAGCACCTAAGGTATTACATAGACTGCAACCTTCTACCCCATCTCTTTGCTAGATGAAGATGATTTACAATTAGGCACCTTTGAGATATAATTTATTACATATCTTTACAAATACACAAATACAATTATTTAACACACAGTCCATTTTGACCAGGTGACATTTCTTTGTATCCTTTATATGACAAATGTAATTTTGAACTGCTGGAATTTTGTACACAAAAATCAGTTTTTGTTTCTTTGCATGTTTAATTGTTTATATTTTTTTTATTATTGCTAATTGTATAGGTAACAGATGGTCTTCTAGATTGGGATCTAAAGGAATCTGTACAGATAGGTTATTAATGTTAAACAGGAACGTATTCCTGTGTTCAAAAGTATATTTTTATTGTGGGGGAAAAAGGAAAGAATGAAAGGACCAAACAAAAATGTGACCACACACCACTGACACCACTGGTAGTAAAAGCTTTATCAACCCTTATCGGTACAACATACCCATGTCGAGTCAAATGCATCAGAGAGGGGTGATCCGTGGGCAGTACTGAATGGCAATTGTTAAGTTTCTATAAAGCTTTTACTACTACTGATGTCATTGGTGTGTGGCTAGATTTTTTTGTTTGGTTTTGACATGTGGGAGCGGAGACATACTCCACTGGTGAGCACCTGAGAGTCCCTCTGCCTGTATGTTTGTCAAATAGATAGTTATAAACATGAATTTTGTCTTAACACCCTTTTCTCCAAAAATGATTACCATTCTAAAAATTTACTTACCAGACTTTCCACAAAGGAACTGGACTCTGTAGTTTGGACAGGGTGAGACGGCCTGCTCATTCTGCCGGCACTCAAATCGGTAATCATGGCCACCTTTATAATAGACCTGCACTGGTATACTGGACCCATTCATTGCAGTAACCTGGGGGTCGAAACATATATGTTACTGAATGCAAATGTTCATAAAAATTGCATATTCATTTACAACCCTTTATGCACATAGTGCCAGCATATTCTACAAGATTATACAGAGTGCTCTAGAGTTCTAAACTAATTTCTTAATATAGGGATCCTTTCATGAAAATCCAAATCCAACACACTTCTAAGCTTGTAAAATAAGTTGAGTAATGTACAAAATGCTGTAACCCCCAGATTTTACTAGCTGGGATTACTAGCTGGGATACCATTAGATGAAATCAGGTTGTTACACACGTTGCACATATTACTCACACTGTCTTATTATACAGGGTCAAATAAAGTAAAATTAGCACCACACCAGATTTGAGCACATTAAAAAGGCCCTGTGCAGCAATCGTGTATACAGTATGTACTGGTACTATTTTTCTCTCAGGACAGCAATGGGATATGAGTCATTGGGTTTGATTTACTAAAGGAAAATAAGCTGTCCAGCTTGCAAGGAGCCTACAAGCCACATACACTCCACACCAGCCTTTCTGGCCCATATCAGAGCTGCTACATGTTCAGTTCAGGCCTGACCTCTTTGAGTGTATTATTTGAACAAGCCCACATATGCTTTTACATTTCAAGCAGCTTGGAAGTTAAAATTGGTTGTTGCATTCAATACCACATTTGTTTCTGATTTGTACCAGTAGAACTCGTCATTCAGTGTTTACTAATGTAGTAGGTTTGCTTGTTCCTGTTGGCTTAGTCCAGTCCTGACTGCCTTTGTTCCTGTGAGATCCAGCATAATATTCGCGAGAATGACACCGTTTATGTACTGTTATCCATTCACATAGAATATGGTCTTTGTTTGATAATTTATTATTTAAGTCAAGATTTTGCTTCCCTGTTGTTAAACCAAACAGCATTTTTAAATGTTCTCTGTGAGGTCGTTTGATGGCACTCCGCCGAATTCCCTACCTGGTGAGATGTGAATGCAAAGGCTCCTGCTCCCTCGGCAGGGCCGTCTACACTACATGCTTGGGAATGACACTGATAACAAACCCAGCCATTCCAAAAGAGCTCAGGATGCCTACTGAGACCACAAAAAAGGATGTAATAGGATATGTAGCATACGGTCCTATTTATGGTTAGCAACGGGAAACCGTTGTTCCTGGGTGTGAAGCCTGATGTTTTATTAACTATGAGACAGGCAGCAAAACAATATCCACATAGCATGTCTGTTCTTCCTTTCACTGAATTAACATTGAGTTCCTTATAATAGTACTGTTTTATTTGCTGGTATATTCAGGAAACACTCATTCATGTTTTTACTGTGTGCTTTCTATATTTTTACACTTTGAATATAACTACTGCATCATGTGTATTAAGAGATAGAAACGGGAGAGCAATAACAAGCATATAGGGGTTTACATTGTGGACACTACCACCTCTTATGCTCTCCAGACATACATTTAGCTACTTCAGTACCATCTAATTTCAAGCCCCATTTTGGGGTACATGCCAGTTTTTTGTGGTAAATGGTATTTAGAGATGTGCTGCCAGCTCCCTTCTCCTACATCCTACACCTCTAACATCTAAGTGCAGATAGCCTTACCCTGGGTTCCTTTATTGCCAAATGTAGAGAAGAGCTCCTGTGCCATCATGCAAGATTACAATAAGCTAGGATGAGGGCCACCAGTGCTGTCATCAGTGAGTTAAAGGAGAACTATGTGGTCAGTGTTTTTCCCCATAGTTCTCATTAGGGTAACGGGAGGACACAAACTAGCGTCCTCCCGTTACCCTAAGCTCAGTATACTGAGACGCCGCAGCCGGCTGTACCCACCCCCCTCCCCCGTCCGTTCCGCCAGTCAGCGCTGGCAGATCGGAGCGGGGAGAGGGGAATCCAGCCCCCTGTCGCGGCAGAGAGCCGTGGCAGGATCGAGAGGTGAGCGAACCTGGTATGTGTTCGCTCACCTCTCGATCTACTGAGCCGACCTGTGGCAGTCTCAATGTCACAGGTCGGCTAGAACTATGAGGTGAGTGGAAATCACTCATCTCATAGTTCTCCTTTAAGGATGGAGATGTTCTACCATAATGGGAATTGATTAAAAAAAAAGACTGTTCTGCAGATAAAACCAGGGTGCCATGGGTACGGGATTTTCTACAGATTTAGAACTATTATATTATGAAATATGAATCAGTGATTTTTGTCTCTGGCTACTTGGTGCTGGTTTGTTTGTAGTGATGTTTGTGGTTTTGCTGTTGATCCAGTACAGTATGGCCCAAAGTTGTTCGCAAGAACAAGGTAAGTATGAAGTAGAAGAGGTTAACTTCAGTGTTTGAGGGATATGAGTTACTGTTATGATTAGCCTATACCATAACCTAGCAGCACTCTGGCACAGTGAATTCATGTACCTTGACGTCAACAGGATGGGTGCAGATTTTGCCAGGATACCTGGCCCGGAATTCAGACAGTTTCTCCCATTCTCGGTACCGTGTGCTCTCATACTTGTCAAACCAATCTGTCCACTCCACATCTGGAATGTAGAAAGTATAAAAACTCACATCACAAGCCTGCCAAATTAACTTGTTTATTTGCAAGTAGCGAAACAGAAATCTGCACCAGACACATGACAGAATTACAAGCTGATTTCCAACTAAATGGACAAGTCTGAAATATAGGCCCATGTCTAGCTGGAAACCACTTACACTTGTTTGACATCATACCAGACAGGTCAGCTGCCAGCAAAAATGGACGCAGTTGGTCATTCAGACTCTCTAGATTCTGCTACTTGATAACTTAATTTTTTTCTAATCAACACCAGTAATCCTGCCTATTCTCTACCATATTGATCTGCCATGGATTTGATGATGTCGGCCTTGCCAGTGTCCTAAATTTTGCAAAGCTAGTCCTTTACATTAGCTAAAGCAAACACAGACAGCTTCTTACTCTACAGCTAAATGTCAGAAATGTATACTGATACTTATGGAGTCATAACAGCCAAACTACGCTGTGTCACGTATCCGAGTTTCATTACTAAGGCATATTTTTAGTTTAACACCATCACCAATCAGATAAAAATTCCATATATTGTCATTTTCCAGGGCAGGTTTGATTCAGACTGCTGGCAGTGGGGGGGAATAATATCAGTTGTTAGAAATTATATTTGGTAATACTGTACAGGTTAACTAACATCCCAGAAAAATGTAATAATTTGTATCTCTCAGCTTAAGAAAAAAATAGACCACATACATTGCACATGATTTATTGTAATATATTGCAGCTTACTAGTCCCTAGATGTGGTGGCTGCATTACGTTTTTTTCCAGGCTTTTGTTACCTTTATTTTCAACTGGAAATCCTGTAAACAACACAGTCCAGGATAGTCTGAGGTTACTACATTTACTCCTCCAGTGTATCTATGGAAGTAATCATTGTAGCCACCCAGGCTGGACTTTAAACATGTCTCCATTGCATAGTGGCTGAAAGGACAAGTAGTTTACAGGACAAAAATAAGGATGTTTGTGCTTTCTGTTAAGCTGACAGGAAGTGAGAAGAACATTTCACTTCTGGTAAGATCAATAGCTATTTTCTGCACCTGCTGAAAATGTTCTTAGCCTGAAAAGGAAAATTAATGCTGCCACCACCTCTAAAGATTTCTCAGTTGCAATGTATTCCGTTTTGTGTTTAGTTTAATTTTTCCATGCTTTATATGTAAAACAATTTAGATATAGTACTGTGTTATTGTATTAGAGATCAATGAACCAGGCAAATAGATCAGAGTTTCATCTAAGCTGCCACAGGCTGCACACTTAGAAATCATGATAGATGTATGTATTTAAGGTTTAACTCCTGAGTTTAGTGTACCTATAAATAACACAAAAACACTAGGTCTTATGTATAATAGTGTCTAAAGGAAAACCAGTTCTTGTTGCCCATAGTAAGCAACAATGCAGCATTAAAAGTGAGAATCTGACTGGCTACTACGGGCAGCAGGAGCTATAATTCCAGTGGTCATATATGTGCATATCACCCACTGTTCAATGTGCCCACAATAGCCAAATACAATTCACCTTGCTCAGGGCTGATTCCAGGAAGTTTAAATCTGATTGGCTAAAATGGGTTGTTGTAATTAGCCAATTATTTGTATTTATTTATTACAGGTATTTATATAGCGCCATCAATTTATGTAGTACTTTACATACTGCATTTTTCTAGTCTGGGACGGACTGCGCTGGTGTCAACAGTGGCCAGAAATAGCACAGTGATACATTAGGATGCATTTTGGGTCTGGAAACAGTCTGGTCTGGAGATGATCTGGATGTGGTGTGAATGGACGCTTACAATCTAGGGTCCCTATCTCACATACACACACATACAGGACCGATTTAAACAGGAGCCAATAAACCAATTAACATGTCTTTGGAGTGTGGAAGTAAACCAGATTATAACTGATCTTTGTGCTTCTGATAAGCTCGATCTGTCAGTCCAACCAACAACCTTAAAGACAATGATGACTAAAGTGTACCATGCAATATCCTAGCAGTCTAGAATCAGGTGGGAAGTAGACAGATTATGTAAAGCTTTCTCTTTATCCTGATTAATGGCCAGTCTCTTGCACAGAGACATCAATTAGAAAAAAAATCCCAGCGCCAATGAAAACAGATTTTTTTAAAACGGTAATTAAACATAGTAAGTGACATTTTCAGGTTAAGCAATAAATTGAAGCAATAATGAAATCAGGACAGTACATTAGCTGTTGTTGTCCAGCTAGGGCCAAAACCAGAGACCTCAGCCAGCCAAGATCAGCAAACAAGCGAGTGAGTTAAAAGGGACGCCTGTTTCTGACAACTGGAAGCTCATACATTTTTCATGTGTACAGTGCAGGGCTGCTGGAGACTTCTGCATGTCTGCAGCTTCCAAATAAATGATCCGTGTGTTCCAAAAAGCACGGCACTAACTTCAGCCGTAATGAACCAATGGGACAAGAAGGAAAGTAAATATGGGAAATTTATAGAAAATTGTGGCTTCTGTGCCTGTAAATGCATAACACGGGATTTGTCAGACAGAGAAATAAACTTCAGATTGTTAATAAATGAGTCTTTATTTGGCTGCTTTAAACATTTAGTGATCGGTTTTCACTTACCCTGAACCCACTCGCTGGATGAAGAAACGTTAAAGTATTCGCCATTTTCAGCTTGGAAAAGTTTATGTACGCGAGCCACTGCGGACCCTCTGCTTCCTGTCAAACACAGAAATAGCTCAGGAAGCTTGCTAAGTAAATAGACTGTAGCAGGTAAGTGTACAGATGAAATCATAGAGGACAGGAAAACGCCAGGCTAAAATGTCATATTTCTTTGTGCCATGTGTCATTATTTCTATTTATATATAAACATCTATGGATACAACAGGGAATGTATATACACAACAGAATAATTATGTATAGGAAGTGGTTTATGTGAACCAGTAATCATGCAAACAGACAAGACTTCCCTATGAATGTGGATTTTTAACTCCTTCAATCAGGGGTGAGCAACTTGGGCCCTCCACCTGTTGTGGAACTACAAGTGCTATGGGGCATTGCAAGACTGACAGTTACAGGCATGTTGGGATTTGTAGTGAAAGCCCAGCTAGAGTTGCCCACCCCTGCCTTAAAATGATCCTATGGAATAAATGGAAATGTGTACATTTGCTAGTAGGCCCCAGCCACTACAATATAATTTCATGCTATCTCTATTTTGCATATTGGCAGGAAAATAAAATTGACTACCCTTTTATTTTTCATATTCAAGGGCTAAATTATAATGAAAGCATTATTCCAGGCAAACACCTGAATACACAGAATAAATACATTGAAGGGAGCTGTTCTACCTGCCAAAGTGTTTGTATTTCTGTCCCTCCATTTCTAAGATTTGCACAGCCCTGGCACACAGCACAGTCCTTTCTGCCAGGGCAGGAGGCACCATTTTTGTCCTCCCCCTACCTTGTGACTGGAGAGTGAAATGAGAAGCAGCAGAGAAGCATGAGCCCATCACTCTTCACTCTGCTTCTCCAATCCTCAGTCTAAGATCTGCTTTATGGGGACTGCAAGAGGCTGAAACCAAGACAACCGCAGCTACTTACAGTGCTTGTATATGAAATAAAACACATATTAGGACATATTCACAAGTACAGAGCTGCAATAATTTGTGTCTTGGAGTTCAGCATTAGCCATTTTGAATTCAGTCCCTAAAGCATAAAATGCATGTCAAGCCCAAAAAAAGTTTTTGCTTGTTTTGGATAGAGTGAAGGATAAGAACCCTTGCTGGCTGGGCTATCCGGGCCTTTGTTAGAGAGATTTTCTCTCACTTCCTGTCCTGCTGACAATAGTGTCGCTATTGCAGATTTCTCCTCACTTCTTGCCTGGTAAAATTGAAGAAAGCGAGGCAAAACTTTTTTAACAGAGCCACAGATTGTAGTAAAAACCAAACAACGGTTCTATTCCTTCCCCAGTCAAGGATAGAGTGGGGAAGGGTTCAAACTCCTGTTAGGTTTGTGCTGCTACCTGGGACTCCATTAGAGGGATTACTTTCACTTCTTGCTATGATGAAAACACTTTTACCACACAGGAAGTGAGAGAAAATCTGCAATGGAGACACAGACACTGGCACGGTTTGTGACCTTTACTAAGAAAAAGCATTTTTATTGCTGTCATGTTTGCTTTTGGAGGTTTTTCCTCACTTCCTGTCTGGTTAAACCATTTCCTTTAGGACAGGAAGTGGAGGGGATATCTCACTAATGCAGTCCTGGGTAGACAGGGGTTCTTATCCTTCCTCAATCTATCCAAATCAAAGAAAAAATATTTTAGGTAGACCTACAGCTTAATATAAAGCACAGAATGGCATACAGGCATGAGAGAAGGGTTTGGAGGCTGCTGCAAGTATGTGCAGGTGCCTCTAGGTTTAGAATTAGGCGAATGTTGTGAAAAATAAGAACAATCTAATATAATGCAGTGAAAGTCTAAACTGGCTGTCTGTGTTTGGACAGAAAGGACTGCAAGACCTGCTCCGTATCGTACTAAACTTTATACCAAATGAACTCCGGCCCTCCAGCTGTTGTGGAACTACAAATCCCATGAGGCATTGCAAGACTGACAGTTACAGGACTGACTCCCAGGTGCAAAGGCATGTTGGGATTTGTAGTTAAAGCACAGCTGGAGGGCCAGAGCTGCCCACCCCTGCTTTATACAGTAAGTAAATAATAGGAATTTCCGAGGTACTATTGTGTTTAATATACATTTCTGGGCTACTATGGTGTGTAGCAAAGTGATTGTTGATTTATTTCAGAAGACAGACAAGACTGAGGAATGTTCCATGCTTTGCTGTACCTTGGTACTCCACGTGGTCTTCCACGGAACTGGATGGATCGCCTTTCACGGTGATAAAACTCCAGGGGTGTCTGGAATAAACAGAACAACCTGTATTTTAAAACAAGGAACAAGTCACTTCACATACTGAGGCTTTGTAACTAAGACGACTGAGCAGACACAGACAGAGAGACCGTCTGTATGCAGGAACTCGCCACAGCTTACAGAGACACCATCACGGCAAAATGTACACGCGGATTTTTATTTCATTTGCTGCAAACAGCAATCATGGACATGAACCTCCAGCAGACAGCCAGAGATCAGGACTAAGAAGAATACGGCAGTCACCAAATCCTATTCAATTGGCTGTTCTGTACATTGCACTGACGCAATAAAAACAGTACCTGAGAATAATTATATTTACAAAGGACTCTATAGAATACAATAACTAAGGAAAAGGAATATAATGCACATCATTTACAAAAACAGCAATCGGTAAGGTTAAAGTAAATGTACTGTAAATCCTAATGGAGTAAGATTTAGTTCAATAAGGAACTAGGGGGGACGTTATCAAAACTGGAGCAGACAGAATCTGGAGCAGTTGCCTATAGTAACCAGTCAGCTTCTCTCTTCAGTTTGTTTAGTTAAGCTTTGAAAATGATGGGTTGCCATGGGCAACTACACCAGATTTTCTCTGCTCCAGTTTTGATGTATCCTCCTCTATGTATCATAAACCATTGCCATTTTCTAAATAAAATCCTTGTTTTTCACCTTTTTCATCTTTTGTTGCATGCCAATGCTGCTGATTTCCTGGAGCTTCTTTGCAGTCACTTTTTGTGTGCATGCATGTACTTAGCTGCAGCGATGGCTGCATGGCATTTCTCAGGGAGGGTTACCTAAGAGTGACAACAGAGGACCATGCCTGCGTAATGTGTGTTACATGGCAACTTTTAATCTCCATTGGAATCCTGTGTAAGGCCCCATTCACATACAATAAAAACCGGCCAAAAATGCGCTGATTAGCGCATTTACATCCAAATCTATATGGAGTCTGCGCTGATCAACACAAAAAAAAAGCTCAGGGAGCATTTTATGCGGCGCAGCCATGCGATCGCATGAACGGTCCCCATAGGAATGTATGCGATCATTCATGTCGGCGGTTCAGCGCGGACAAATCCGTGTAACCGAACTGCCCCGGTGTGAACAGGGCCCGATAGGGTAGCAATGCAAAAGCACAATTAAAAGCCCGAGGCAATGAGTTGTCACCCCATACAGGAAGGACCTGAATAAGGACCTTTATGGCAGGATCAGCAGGTCTTATTTTGTTTAAGGTAAGCACCAAATTTAAAAATAATAAAAATGACTTTTGGAATTACATTAACATGTAAAAGATTATGTGTGAGAATGTAGTGATTGGGTTTACATTTACTTTAAAGTGTATTTCCACTTTCGCAGCTAAATTGGGACAGCACCTATTTTATATCTGTTACATGTTCCCATTTACATAGCATAAGCTAATGCTTCTTGCAGTTAAATTGCTTTTACTTGGATTAGGGTTTCTTGGCGTCTTAGGGGTTAAAATTTTTACTTGCTTCTCCCTCTTTTGTAATATTAGGAGGACTTGTGAGGGGTGAGTGGCTTCTCCATTGTATGTTAATGAAAGAAGCGCAATCCTCCCCAAATTTCAGTTCTAAGTCTTTTTATAAGGACAGGCCACTGTGAAGGTGCTGAGAGAAACCTGGAATCAGCCATGTTGCCTGCTGCAACCAAACATCTAAAAGGTAAGAAATATTTTTTTTTATTATCTTTGGGTGTGCTGTGTGAATAGATACACATGACAAACTTATAGAGGAATTTGCTTGAATATGACTGCAAAAGTGGAAATACTCTAAGTATACCTAAAGCATATTGTTATTAAGGTTCCTGTCACGTGATAGCTATCCATGCTTGGAATATCATGTTTGGAATTCCCTTAGACAACAATATATTTTTCCTAATAAAGATTTTGTCAGACAGAAGAAGAGTATTGTCTGTTGATTTCTACACATATTTAAGTTATGAACTTACTGAAGAATTGTACTCTGATACCCTCCATCAAAAAAGAGTAATTCTCATGTGATATTGCACTTAGGCTGGCTAGGAGATGACAGTTGCCCTGCAGTCTATGTCGGCCAGAGCCAGTCAATGAGGATGGTACAAATATCTTACTATACTGACCGGAAACCCAGATGGAGGAAGTGTCTGCTCCCCAGTTTGGTCATCACTTTCCTTGCAGAATCATCTAGGTGGCGGGAACCCTCATCATTCACAACCACTGACAATATGGTACCCTCTGGGACTGATTTTATGTAGTGAGCCAAACGGACGCTTTCATCTTTAGATTTGTATGTATCAAATCTGTCAGTAGGGAAAAAAAAGACATTACACATAAGGAGCACAGTTACAGCTGAATTCTTTATATTATTCTTTTCCACGTCTCCAGCATCTTCCTCAAATCTATGCCAAGTAAAGACAAACTGAGTCTAAAACAATAACCTTATAATAAATGAAAATTAATGTAATTAAAAAGATGAAAGCCTTGCTCAGACTAGTTTATAACTCACTTCCTTCATCCTATAAATCCTATGCCATGCACTTGCATTAGTTCCTGGTCCTATTTTCTCATAATGGAGAAAGCCAGGACACAGAAAGAAATCAAACACCGCATGGTATTTCCCTTCCAAGTGACCATATTAAAAGAACATGCATGAGAATAAAGAGGAATTGTCAGAAACGTACCTGTCTGCATGAGTCACCTCGCCAGTTTTACGGTCAATGGCATGTACAATGATCCCACGGTGCCCCCAGCTCTTCTCAAAGAAGTACCCGCCCTCGCTCATGCCACCAGGATGAAGGGTTTTGTTCAGGAAAGTCCAAGACATCTTTTTCTTGCCATGAATTTCAAGGGTTCCTCCACTCCCCACACCGATGTATTTGTGCCCAAAGTAATCATGAGGAAGTTCATCACCATCTGACCTACATGGTAAACAGGATGATTATGAATGTGTATATTAAATGGCAGAAACACTGCAACTGCGTGAAAGTCAGAATATCCACTAAATTTTCCTTAACTAGAGTTTTATAAGCTCGTGTAGCCACATTCATAATACTTAATACTAGGGATGTACCAATACTTTTCAGATACCAGTGCCAATACTTGGCATTTTCATGAGAACTACCAGGGTTGCAGCTGGGACCTGGCTCTGGTGCTCCACCACTGTCCTGAAATCATTAGTCTGTATTGTTTTAGAAAAATTGTCACATGACACTAAACACAAATGTATCAGTACTTGTACTTGTAAGTACTTGGGGGCGAGTATCAGTACTTGTACTTGCAAAAATGGTATTGGTGCATCCCTAATATATATTTATTAAACCAAAATCGTACATTAAAACAGAGATGTACAAATCCCAGGAGCTCCGTGTGCTCCTTACAAATAACAGCTGCCTCCTAACTTTTGCATTTTTCTCTAGTCTAGACTTGGAGCTCAAAAAGTATCAATACATGTACTTGTACCGAGTACAGTACTTGGTATCGGTGCATCCCTACTTAATACTGTGCTTCTGGGTGGCCTACACTCTTGTGCTGCTGTGCAACCTATCTCTCCTGCATTCTTTTTGGAAAAGCTACAGTAGGCTTAAATAGAGTCCAGCTACCATGGAACATATGCTAGATTTTATTCCATAGATGCAGTCATGAGGCCAAATAAGAACACCATTTTAACAGGGATTTAGTGGTGCAGCCAGGTTCAGAAGATGAAAGTGCACTCTACATAGTTTTTCTGTCCTCCAAGTCAGTTTAAAGCTGGATTCACAACTTTTCATGTGCGTTTTCACATGTTTTAGAAGAATTACCAACAATTATGCATTTTTATTCACTTCCATTGTCATCAATAGTACTTGTAACACATCAGTGCATAAAGAAATGGACAACACACGTTGACACAAAAACACTATTTAAAACAATAGCTAACCTGTGTGCACGTGTCATTATAATGCAAAAGGTATTAACACGTATGGCATTATAACGCACCTTGACACGTGTGAGAGAAAGGGGGAATGAAAGCAAACCTGCGGCTATGCTTTACATGCACAAAGCACAGATAACTTGTTCTAAATAAACTTGCCAGTTCTTGCTAAATTTAAGCTATTATAGATTACTCATTAAAACTCATTGAAAACATTTTTTTTATACACAGCATTGTGTACTCTGACTCACACAGTTGATTCTTTTCTGCGTCTGATTTTGTAACCTTTCCTTCGCTTGCCTCCACTGTTTATATTTCCACATTCAGTCTGAAAGTCTAAGCTGACCACAAGTCTTGCATTGCATGGTCTTGTGGTTGAAAATTAAACAATCCGGCCCTTGTCGTTAGGCAATTGCTAATGAGTTTACCTTCCATATAAAATGATGGTGAGATATCCTTGGAAAGGACAGTCTTCGCTCCCTATGTGCAGCTGTGCCCCATTCTCAATCAGAATAAATCTAGTGCGGATGGTGATGGCCTTTTCACTGGGTTTTATGACAAGTTTTCCTGTAATATAAGATGCAGATTTGTTTAAAGTAGATGCACTCTTGTGTGGTACATTTACATCAAGAACAATTTGCTAAACCAACTTCCAGGGAGTGAAGAAGTTTGTCTAGCCACTCCAAATACTGCCTTGTTATAAATACATGGCAGATTTATTAAACTGGACCATACAATTAATTTTTTTGTTTGCATTTTACATATACAACCAACACCAAAAGCCATGAATATATGATAAGCACAGATAGTTAGGATGAAGTATTTTTGTGAAGAAAAAGCTAAAAAAGGGAAAAATCTTTGAAATCCAGGACCTGGACATACCTTAAAAATGAACTCCGTGTCTATGGCTAGTTTTAAATATGCTGCACTGACCCTATAATAAACCATGTACAATGGAACAAACGGGGTTAGTATTTAGAATCAATCAAACTGCAACTATTGGAGATGTTTTAAGGTTGTAAAAGATGAAAAATACATGAAAATAGATTACAGTAACTGCAATCAAGGCATACAACTTGATGATTTGTTTTTATGTACATTCATTTTTAGTGCCATTGATTCTTCACTGTTGGGTTTTGCTCAGGCTTCTTTTGCTGAACTCTATGGAAAAAAAGCAGGGATGTCCAAATACTGGACATTTTCACGAGTACTTGTACGAATACTTGTACGCCCCGATACTAAAGGCCGTTAACGGCCCTTCAAATTTTTAAACCTGTGTGGCTTCCAGAGATCCTGCACTTGCTTGGGACCTCAGGCAGCTGTCTTTGGCAGTGCCACATCACCTCCTGCTCCTTTCTCAGACCAGAACTGCAAAGGACAGCCCCACTCCCTCACATACAGCCCTGGAGACCGGCATAAGCGCAGCACCCACCCGCAGAGCCCAGCACCCACTCACAGAGCCCTGGAGATCCCAGCACCCACCCGCAGAGCCCACATGCAGCCCTGGTGAGATGTGCAGGCAGCTCAGGTGAGACCCAAAAGCATCCCTGGTGAGATCTGCATGCAGATGAGACCCAAACGTAGCCCTGGTGAGACCCAAATGCAGCCCTGGTGAGACCCAAAACGCAGCCCTGGTCGGACCCAAATGCAGCCCTGGGGAGATCTGCACGCAGCCCCGGTAAGACCCAAACATTGCCATTCTCCATTGCTGTATAATCAACGATTATACAGCAATAGAGAATGGCAACCGGCTATAGAGGACTACAAATCTCAGCAATCCATGATTGCTGGTTGCCATTCTCCATTGCAGAGTTACATTACTTCATAATTATAAAAAAAACTGCCATAAAATCGTTAGTCTGTATCGTTTTAGAAAAAATGCCACAGGCCCCTTTAAGAAAAATTATAGGTAATTGGTATCGGCAAGTACCTGAGGGAAAGTACTTGTACTTGGTCTTGAAAAAATGGTATCGCGACATCCCTAGAAAATAGTATACTATCCATATGTCAAAACACTACCTCTACATTTAACCATCCCTTGGCCAAAGCCTCAGCACTTAACCCCCTAAACTATTACTTTAATCTCTACTTTAAAAAAGATCTAAAGCAAAAACTTGTTGATATAGTAGGGAGGCGTTAGAGCATGTCAAGTTTTTATTGCCTCTGGTAGTGAGATTCACCCTCTCCATTTGTCCTAGTGATCATTGTCAACAGGACTGGAAGTGGGGAAAAAAAATAAATTCTGAGTTGTCACCATAACATGAACAGAATGGAAGCCTAGCAATGGGGAAACTTGTTCTGGTGACTGCTGTCAAAGAGAGAATTTCACTTTGGAGTCTACAGTATAGGAGAAAAATGAAATTCTTTACCAATGGAACACAGGTGTAAAAAAATGACAGGGGTTTTAGCCCCTCCCTACAATATCCAAAACCATAAAGAGGGTTTGGCTTTAGATATCCTTTATGTAGGTTGGAATGTGATTGGCTGTAAGAAACATCTCAGTACTAGTTATCTTTCCCTTTAGCTTTTCTGTGTGAAAGGCACAGAAAAGAAAGCATCACCGACTGGTGTGTTCCAGGATCACTAGATTACAGACAAAAAACACTGGTTCACTACACAGAAGTACCTGGATAAAACACTGCACTACTCAGCAGGGAAGCTGTACCCTCTGTATTCATCTCAAGGTTTCATTTTCAAGTTTTGACTGGGATGTGCCCTAAATTATCATCTTACCTCTTAACTTTATATGTTTAAAATGTAGTTGTTTAAAAATGGCGAACCTTGCAAAAAAAAGATAATTGATAAATACGCCAAAGTTTATTTTTCAAATAATTCCAGTTATTATTTAGCCTAGCCCAATATGTTGCAGATGAATCTGATTTGGCTCAGCAGTCAGGGAATCCGCTTATGAATTTACCATCTGCCAAAGAATCTGGCTCAACTGATCAACAATATGATTTGTTTAAATAAACAGACGAATAAACTCACATTTTCTGCTGAAATGTATGCCTTTTGGGATGCTTTCCTGTAGTGCAAAGCCTAGTAGAATAGCTGACTTACCCCCATTAGTGATACGTATGGAGTGTACAGTTACAGATGACGTCAGAAGGAGCTTTTGGCCTCCATCAATAGTCACATGGTTTTCTTCATTGTGCTCTGGGCTCCAAGGCTTTAAGTCAGGGTCCTCATGTGGACAAATTCCTAACATTGAAAATAAATATATACAGTGATTGTAATGGTATTTGCTGAGTGGCTGCCATTACTAGGTGAATCACACTCAAGTATGAAAACACAGCAAGAAATTCTGGCAAGCTGAAGAGCAAAAAAACATGCCCTATTATTAACTCAAAAACACTCTATTATATCACATGCAAAGGAAAATGAAACATATCATCTTCATAATAAGGTATACTTAAAAAAATACCTATAATGAAAAAATGATACACTATATCAGCCACATATATAGTGCCTGGAGAATTGGTCACCTCTGATCCTCTGTATGGGTGAAGAATTTTTAACTCATAAAGTTGGAACTACTTGACCCCTACTGACACAATGCTAAAGGGTACTGCTGTGAACTTGAGAAGAGATCATTTGCAGGGATGCACCCCAGGACAACTAAATTGACCCAGTAATGGTATTTCAGTTTTTCATCGAGGGTGTTGTATTGACACTTATCTTCTCTTCCTTATATCCTAGCTCTGAACCCCGCACTAGCTTCAAGACACAACCAAGAAATTCCCAGTCACACTGAATTCCCCATGAATAAATTGGGCATCTTGTAGCAATAATGAGACTTGTAATGGCTGCATGAGGGTAGAGTTGGGACCTCAGGAACAGACATTTTGCCACCAAAGTGCCTAGGATATACTGTATAAAAATGCAGTGGTAGGTTAACCCTTTATATGGTATAGTAGTTATAAAACTGCACTCTTTGGAAGCGTTTAGAGATATTTGGCAATTTATTGTGCAACATAAAACACCATAAATTGATACACACTTATTTGTGAGGGTTATATTGTACGTTATAAATAAGGTTGTATACACATGTTAAAATACTAAGATTTGCTTTAGAAAATGTAATGCAAAAGGCAGATGCCAACTATAGCAACTGATATAAGGACTCATAGAAAGTTTGAGTAAGCTACTGGTTGATTTCAATTATCAACGCTGACACTCTATTTTGCTCGGGTCTTTATTGGAAATATGAAAAACCCACCAATCTTGGCTCACTCCAGTAGGGAATTCATTCAAGGAGAATAGCCATCCTCATCTTTATCAGGATCATATCCCATGTCTCGAAACTTATGCAAGCAGTTATTACCAATTAATACCCTTTGTTCAGGTGAAAATCCCAGTATATTAAATAACAAATAGTAAATTTGTGCTTCTTTACCCAGATAGAAGATCATTTGCAAAATACCTGTCTTGGTCCATGGCCAAGAGGAAAATACGCTTTGTGTGACCAAATCCAATAAAAATAAACAGTGATGATTTTTTAAACAGGTCCAATAAAGATTTAACACCTAATATAACATACTGGTAGTAATTCAATTTCCACAGCAGGAAAATCTAGCAATGTCACTGTTTCCAAGTGTCACTTATTTTTAGCCATTTAAAAGAGGTTAATGGAAAATTTGTATATTATTTTATAAGCAAATGCATGGATGTTCGTTGAATGGGCTGAAAACGGAAAGGCACGACACTGCAGTTGCAGAGAGCACAGTGCATTGGTGCAGTGGCAGCAAGTGCAGAGTTGATTGTTGGTGCAGTGGAAGTGAGCACAGAGGGAAGCATTGGAGCAGTGGCAGTGAGTGCAGAGGCAAGAGTTGGTGCAGTGGCAAGTGAAGTGGGGGGGCATGTGGAAGAGGTGATGACAGCAGGGGGAGATTTATTTGCAGGTGTGGTGCTGGGGAGAAAGACAGCTGCAGTGAAGGGGGGTGGCATGAAAGTGCAGTGCTGAGGAGGCTTCAGGGATGGTGGTGAGAGGTGGAGTGCAGGCACAGTGGTGTCGGGATGGGAGTTGGCACAGTAGCAGTGAGTGGGTGGATACAAGTGTATTGGTGAGTGGTGCTTCCACCAGGAGCTGTCAGTTGTATGTAACTCCAGTGGGAAAGAAGGGTTTGGTGGTGTGAGCTGCCAGGTTGGGGATTGAAGTGCCTGTGTAAGCCACAGCAAAAGTCAGGGAGGTGCGAGCTGACGGGGCCAAAAATTAGGTCATGTCCCATTGCAACCACTCTGGATGTGCTTCCCACTGGGCATTGCTGTTGTAGATGGTGCTGGTCTACATTTGAATATCGATGCTACCATGCATGCATGCATGCATGCATGATAGGGTCACAAGGTTATGACCTTCCTTGTTTTACACATCTATTTTTTAAAGATCACTGACAATGCACATAATGCTGTAACTAATAGTATCCAAAGGAACCTTGAGCATACTTTAGTCTATCTAGTTATAAAGGAACCACAACTATTAACTCTCTTTTATGGGTGAGAACGTCTGGACTGTCATTCTGATCTTGACCTGCATTAAGCGTGCAGCGTGTGTAACTTTTAAAGAGTCTAAACTCCTTTACTGCATATTTGTCTCAGATCAGTGCCTCAATAAGCAGTGAAGTCAGCACCAGAATGACAGAGCCTGCACCTTTAAAAGTCAACAATGGCAATTATAGAATAACTATTAGCTCTAGGTTCCTTTATAGAGAGGTTTTTGACTGGTTACTATAGGTTACTACAATCTGACTTTCTAATCAATCTGCAGTTGTCAGTAAGCCTATAAAAAAGTCAATGCAAAAAAAAATGATGATATCGGCATCTTTTTGTTTAGGAGGACTATACAATAACAGGCATTGTGGCTTCCTGCCAAGCTGTATCTCAGACACTGAGAGCAGACAGGTTCAATGGAAAAAAAAAGAGACACGGATTCCTAGAAATGTAGGAGTGTAAATTCTTGTATTTATCTACAGTTACTGTAGATATTCACCAGTTTAGTAGAATCTGGTTTTAGCAAAAACTGACCTGTAATCCCGGGTATGAAAATCACAGCACAAAGCAGGAAACTCAGAATTACCCCCATGCTGTCCAGGTACATGGTTCACAAAAGGGTCCAAATCTACCTATAACACAGAAAAAAAAAATCTTTAAAGTAAACTTTATATTGTTACTGACAGTCACTAACCACTTGTGCCCTGTTCTTCTCCAGATTAACTGAACAACATCTCAATGTGAAGACACTATGGTAGGCACTGCATAGTCCATTAATCTGCACAACTTCCATTTGTGTTAAAGCTTTTGTTCTAATGTCACCGTCCTCATATGACAGGAAGAGCACGCTGCCAAAGAGACTTGCTCTGGCTTAGTCTCCACCTGACATGCTTATCACAGAGACATTGACTAGCTTTCAATGATGAAAGGTGGTGGACATAAGTAGATAATGAGGAGACTGTACTATTATTCATTCATTTTTCATTTGTAAGCAGTTGACCTATTAGAATTTACTATTTTACACATTTTAATATATATTTAGTTTGCTTTGAAAGGAACAAGTATGATGGTTATTGCCTGTCATAGGGGAGTCTCCAATTCATGGGAGCCATGCAATTTTGCTTGAAGGTGTAAAGATGTGTACTGCCATGGAACTAGCTTTGCTTTTATGAATCATACAATTGCATCTCATGCTACAGGATGGGAGCCTCAGCTGTATCAAGGTATACAAAAATTCCCCTCATTGTTTGAGAAGACTGGATCACTAAACTGTGTCAAACATAAGGCATCCAAACAAATCCTGATCCCATGCCAACATGTCAGCCCTGTACAAGCTCAGACGAGGCTTAGGCCATATAGGGCTTCCCTACAGGGTGTACTATGAACCATTGGAATCACTCTAAAATAATGATATTCTAGGCTACTGAATCACAGTTTAACAGGACCTGTTCCTTCCCTTGATGAAAGAGAATCAAGAAAGTGTATTCTGAGCTACATAAGAACATCAAAGCTCATCAAAGTAGGTTTGAGAATGAACTTCTGCCCATCCTTGAATGCCTGTTGTTATAATACATTTGCCATCTATAGAATTCCTCATTGAATTTCTAAAGCCAATACTTTTCTTTTTAATTTTTCCCATCCTAAACAAATTGAGAGGAAACCTGTACAGGGAAATCCTCTTATGCCCTCTTTTCTCACCTGACTACAACAAAATGGAGTCTAAATGCTATGAGGTTTAGTATATTGTATTTCTGGTGATCCAATACCTACTGTATCCTATCTTGCATGCTTAGGTAAGTGTTTTTTTCAAATGTAAATTTATACATTACAAATAGTGCACTGTATTAAATTGCTGCAGGAAACCTCAGCTTAAAATAGGTGAAATGAAGCCTTTAAGTCTGTCTGTTTTCTGTATATTTGGATAGAATATCAGTCCACTGAACTCTAGCTAGTAGATGGTTACCTGCTGCTGCTCTAGCCTCTTACATTGCTCCTTCTTTGCGTGACCCCCTCAACTGTAAATCTGTTTGCTAAATTTACACTTTCAGGAATTTTCAGTGTTCTGGTTTCCAGATATGGCTTTCTTTGGTCACATAATCCATCTGAGCAAAATATTTATGCAGGCCAGTAATAATTTTTTAGATGGATTAGACCCAGCACTCAATCTTCTACTAGTCCAATAGTAATGCATTCATATCACCAAATACGTATCACCAGGTTAGCAAACATTAATGCCAGCTGGGTCAGTATAGTGCCGATGAGTCCTGCTAAAGCATTTACTAAATCCATCTGTGTATTCCCTGTTGGGTAGGATGCTTTATTCAGTCCGCCTTGGAAAGACGCCTGGCAGCAACCCCTGGATATATATTCGGATTCCTGGCAAGACCAGCGCTGTCAAATTATTTCCAGCTGTAAAACAGCAAAGACTCATCAGCACAGCTATATCCCAGCAGAAAGCACTGGTGTCTCTGCTCTCCACTAGGCTCTATGTGAGCTAGGTCACTGCATGCATATATTACTTTAGGTGAGTGACTTTAAACTGCAGCACTTTAGGACTAAGCGATTGCCAACCTGTTAAATACCCACTATTGTTTTATATCTCTTAAGGACTGTCCTTTCTTTTTATACAGTTGAATTCCCCAGTTCTGCTCACCTCATTTAGCCATTACAAGACTGTTTAAACCTTACTGCTGGTTTCCCATTGATTTTACCTTACAAAGATGTCAATAGTAGATAAAAGCTAGGGTCTTATTTTCCATAGGTCATTAGTGGACCATCGGTAGCCAAAAAGGACCAAAGCATAACATTTACAACTTACTTTTTTTTCTGGCTACCAATAGACAATATCCTTCTTTCTTTTTATACAGTTGAATTTCTAATTCTGCTCACCTGATTTAACAATTACAAGACTGTTCAAACCTTACTGATGGTTTCCCATTGATATGACCTTACAGTGAAGGCAGTGGTGGATGAGAACCTGGGTCATATTTCTCATAGATCATTAGTGGACCATGGGCAACAGGGGCAACAAAAAAGGACCAAAGCATAACATTTATAAGTTATTATCTGCCTGGCTACCAATAGAAACATTTTAGGTAATTCCCACTGCAGAGTTGATGGGGAAGTGTATTCAGGGGTTGTTGAAAGGATTCACGGGACTCCTTGTAGCCCTCTCCTTTTTCTATAGCATATTGACTGGTAGCCACAGATCAGTGCTAGATTTGCATAGAAGACAGGTAAAACACCTTGCCTTTAACAGTGCATTCTGAGTTTAATTTTTGTTTTAAAAATTATGTGAAATGAAACGTATTGGAACCTTTTGGAAAATGCAGCATCATTTGCCTGTGCTTAATAAAGCCCTGGTAAGGCCCCTTCACTTGCCTTCTTAATGGATGCGGAGTCTGACAGAAAGTGAAATTATAGCAAGAAGGTTTTGCTGCTGGAGTTCTCAAAAATTAAGAAACAAATAGGTAAATAAGTTGATCCAGTGTCATTTTGGTATACTTTTTTAAACTCGAGAGTACCGGGCACATTGTAGAACATACTGATTTTTAGCAGGTAAACTCAGGTGGACTGATTTCAATACCAGTACATTACTATTACATTTTTATGGGAGCTACTAAAGGAACACTTTTAAGTTATATTTGCCATTATTTAAAAGCGAGTTGTTTACTCTTTCTTGCTTTGAGTAACTGAAAACAGTTAAAGATCACACAACTTAGTAAAAAGAACATCTCTATTTAGAATTACTGTCATCAGTACGATGATAACTGTCTCCCTAGGTGCGCCAAGAAATTTCATGTATGCTTAAAGACACATCTGCATGTGACCTATGTCATTGTTTCACCTCACACAGTAGTATTTGGCAACAGCATGTACATTTTCCGTCAGGGTCAATGATCACAACATATGGTGCATCTCTAAGGGATAAACTTGCCTTCATTAATAGAGTTCCTGCACAGATAATTCTAAAAAATGACAGCCTCTGCTGTTTTTCATTTTGGCCTCATACATAGTAAAGGAATGCTTTTAAAAGTTATGAGGAAAAGTAAAGAAACACTTGTTGCAATTGCCCTCCACCCTCAGCCATTGTGTCTCTAAGGAAATGATGGCTAGCTGTGAAAAGTTGAGAAGGCCTCTGTCAGTACTGCACGAATGCAGCCAAATTCAATAAATACTTGCAAATCAAAGTCTAAAAATTCCAGGTAGTGAGTGCTAAGATTCAGTAATGAAGTTAGTGAAGCTCAGGTGTCCTATGTGTACATGCCTACTGCTAGGGGCACGTTTGCTAAGTGCTGACAACTTAAGCTATCATAAGCAGTATTGCATTGTTTGCTGTGCCATTATTCCACAGAAAACATGTTAGCGGAAACAGGTGCAGTGCACCTAAATACTGACACTTAAAGGTTTAGGCCTTTCATGGAGGATCCTCTATGTCAGCAGGTTTCTTAGACTCTGCTCCTTGACCTTCTGTAGGCCCTAAAGGTCAAGGAGCAGAGCGGTTGAACTAATTTCTGTTTGTACCTAGGACTAAACATCCTAGATTGAACATCAGGATGAACGCATGGTAATCAGTTGGATTGGATGAATCTGACCGTCTAGCAAGTCGTGATTCTCTGATTGTGCGAAACAAGCCTACTGTAAGAATTCTTGAACGCTTTGTCTCATTAATTTCATAGATCTCTGTAGACTGGACAAATCTGTGCATATTCTAGAGAATCATAAATAATTATTCTGAAGGGTTAAGATTCACAAACCACAATCAGTTTATGGTTCAGTTCCCTCATCTCCATTCAGGACAACAGTGTCATACTGCATTCTTGGCCGGAGGTTCTCACCCAGCACCGTTCTCTAACTGCATCAAGTTTCTAAATCAGATAACGTAAACCTGTCACAACTCTTTGCAATTAACATTTAGCATATGATGACTATTCACATGTTACCTTCAATAAGAAGTGCATATTAAAATGATCAGTAGATCCAGAGATATAGGCGGATGAAATCACATGCAAATCTTGCCTATTTGAGTAGAGGTCAAGTTTGGCTCTGAAGCCTCCCACCTCTCAACCCGCCCAACTGATCTTTTTTCATGTTAGTGGTAGCTTCATTGACCAGCAGAGAGGATCAGAAGTCCACAGGTTGTGGTGCCAAGCTCAACGTGTGTCAACTTCAACTACCTATATGGATCAAATGATCTTTTGAAATTTTTCATTAGAGGCAACCTCAATTCTTAATTTTTCTTTGCTTGATTTACCTTAAATCTATTCACTATTGTCTGCTCCTGAAATGTATTTAATGGCATGCATATATCTGAAAGATCTGGATGCTAAGCTATTAAGAAAAATTTTGAGATCATTAGAAGCTATATGATGGGTACATCCAAAGGGTGATCATAGTTTTTCCATATACATAAGCAATTTATCAGCAGACAACGTCTAAAACAGTATATGCTAGCCAACAATTGGCCAATATGTTGATACTTGAACTTTAAGTTATTTCACGTTTAAGGGATGACATAGCTGTGGTTCACTAACCAAAGGCTTAAACGTGTTCAAAATTTACAAACTAGAGCCAGAAGGTGATTCGCCACCATCGCTTTTCTTATACATTGATCAAAAATGCAAAATGAAGAAAAACAAATATCAATATGAACCTCCAGCATAACACACACTATTTTACTTGCACATAAATTATTTACTTAGCTTTGGAATGTGCATAGCAAGATTAATGGTATTTCTGCATTAATTGTAAGGCACATGTGTCCTCAGTCATTTATACATTTCATCAGACTCATATATATGAGTCTGACTCATATATATAAAAAAAATAACAGCTGAACTCCAAGATACAGGTGAAATGTCTCCTCTATAAAAAGCAAAGCACACATTTACAGTACATATCTGAACCATCAACTTCTCACTGTTTGAAAGTGAAATACATTAATCAACATTACAAGATCCTGGAGCTAAATTCTGGCATTGGCAAGGTCCAATAAACTGCAAGAATGCAATAAAATAAACAGCCCAGTTGCTTTCTGTATACATTAAATAGACAAGTGAAAAAACACAGTGCCTTATGGCATACACAAATCACAAACCTGTTCAGTGTTCTGCCTTACATGGGTGTTCAACTAAAAAGCCCAGTATGTACCCACGTGGCACAAGTCAGGATAAGATCTTAGTGAACTTGGAAGGCTGCGATGTTAAACAAGGGTTCCCAGAATCCTGCTCAGGGAATCTTCATTCCAAAGTATTATATCTTGATAATTCCCATCTGTTACTGTTCTGAATTTTCCCTGTGCCATCAACAGTGCTAAAAAACTATACTCTTGTTCAGACAGCTCTTCTCTGTCTATAATTATTGTCACAGGCATAGCCTATGATTTGAAAGTAACTCCTCCTGCATTCATTCTCATCCTCCTCGTGGACCCATAAATGCCATTCTGGTAAGCAAGCTGCCAAACTCATGACACCTAACAGGACACGAGCACCTTGATGTGTATACATTTATCTGGCAAGTAAATACCTCAAATATGCAGAAAAACCACAAGCTGAAATATGATCTCAAAAACATGTAACACACTTGCTTGCTATTTTATGTATCTGTATGAACATGTAGAAATTTGTTTAGAGATAGCTAATCCTTCAGGAGAATTTGAGAATATACACAACAAATATCTTTCAAAAACATAAAATAAGTATAAAGAAACGTTAAATTACTGCCTACTATAGCGACTAATATTCATGCTTACAGTTTTAAATCTGAAAATAAAACAATGAGTCTCAACTTGTTTCTGTCACCTCCATTTCTCTAACTCAGCCTTTCTCAACCCTTTACCATGGAGATACTTTCGAAATACTGTTCAGGTCTTAGGAAGCTCCTGCTAAAAATGATTTTGCTTAAAAATTGTGGTGCATTACCTAGCTGTGGTGGTCAAAGAGAGATGGTCCCCTTACGCTGTTGGTCAGTGGAAACACTGCCTTGTTACAATAATGGTTCTTGGGTAGAATGTGTATTACACTGGTAGTCAGTGTAGTGCCCCCATATGATGAGGGACAGTGAGAGGATGCTCCTTACATTGGTGGTCAGTGGAAAAAAATGTCCTCCTTTACAGACAACCAACGTGATCATTGTTGTCAGTGGTTACTTACCTGAGGAACAAAAAAAAAGGAGAAGCTCCTCTGATTCCATGTCATTGGCTTTGCCAAGTGGCACTTTGTGCCAGAACTATGCAGGCACCATAAAGTGGAAGTCACCATTAGAAGCCACCCCATAGGAAAGCATGCACTGTTTATAAAAGGTTACAATGACTATGTATACAAAAAAAGAACTTACCGTCTATGATGTGTGTTTTTGTAAATCAACATGTTAGTAAAAGCATATTGTAAAAACAGGCACCCTACAGCAAACAAGCATGTGCACATAACTATCTTAAAGTATCAGATATTTACTATGATGTAAGTTACCCAGTGATAGTGGCTCAGTTACATAGCAGGTGCAGGTCTCACACTTGGCTCTGGACAAATCATGTTCACCAATATCAGACGCATTTAACTTACACAAAAAGAAACACATTTATTAACTCAACAATATACACCCATAGGACAATATCAAAAGAATTAAGTCTTGTCTATGGACCATCACATTTTCATTGGCTCAGCAGATAAATAAGGCGATGCTAGACAGTCTCTGGCTGTGAAGTAATAAGGCACCATATGGGTTTATTTCTTTAGTCCTACAGTATTGGGGCATCTGTATTCAGTCAGCATCAGGGGCAGGTAAAGGTGTATTGATGCAGCCCTTCTCTCTGCACTGTTGTTAATAATTTTAATCCAAGATGGCATGGTCAGTCCTTTATATCCCACCATGGCAAAACTACCTGCAATAAAGAACCAAAATGGTTACCATTTACCATAAATATCTGGTATACATGTGCTATAAACATGGTTGACTTGAAGATACCTTTCGTGTGCAGGGCTATTGGCTTTGCTGAACCAAGTTTGATGAAAGCGGTCATTTCAGAAAGGGAAGGCATGTCCACAATGTCTCTTGAGCAAATAAGCACTACAGACCTAGGAAACAAAATAATACACTCATAGCCCTTGCCAAAACATTTCAGCTTTAACAAAGGAGAAATCTAAAGCTAGCCGTCGGAAACTTAAATGTATCAAACAGTCAAAGGTCGGCTCATGTTTAGTAAGATTGCTGTCCACCTAAGCCCACTATGACTTTTTTTTTTTCAAGTATCAAGGGCATTTATTTTGGCATGGCCGTTCCGTTGCACACTGTGGCCACTTTACGTCCAGAGCGTCCCAGGTTGCCTATAGCCAGACAGGGAGATCTGTAAGGCCATACACATCTGCCAGCCCAGCTCTTAGCAACCTGGAATTCTCTAGTCAGCATCCTGCCCAGCTCCTGGCAACCATTAACATCACTGGTTGCCAGGATCTGGGCCGGTAGATGCAGAGCCTGCAGAGGACAGTGTCATTCTCCTGTCTGGCGTCAGTGTCACTCTCCTGTATCCTCCACCATCACTACACCCTTTGCCCCTCTGCTTCAGGTGGCAAAGGACTAGGGACACCACTGGCTGTGGAAGCACACAACAATAGATTAGGTCTTACAGTTTAAATAACACCATAAATAATAGTAATATGTTTACAAAGTACGCTAAAATCTTAAATCTAAATTATAGGCAAACAGCTAAGCCGTTGAAGGAGAAGCAGCAGACTGATGAGGTTATCCCTCTGCCACTATGCTCCCTCCTATCAGCATCTGCCTTGTCTTGTGATCACTGCAACACAACTGGTTGGCTCTATATATTGCTTTTCACTCTCCTGGGCTTAGCTGCTGTACCTGCAATACTACTTGCATTTAAAAAAAAAATACATTTAACCCCTTCATGACTGAGTTTATTTTCAGTTTCTGTTCGTAAATGACTGACGCACTCTTTACATTTTTGCTGCGTGAGTCTTCCATGGCAGTAATACTTACTAAGTGCACCCACACATATTGTATACTGTTTTTTAGAGGAAAGATAGGGCTATATATTTATATCACATATGTGTGTGTGTGCCTAATGCCTCACTTAATACGAATAACATATAAAAAAAGAGGAAAAAAACTTAAAGAAAAACACTTTTTCCCCAGTTTTGATTTTGTTTTTTAAATAGCACAGCTAAAAAAATGCATTAAAATAAATTGATTTATTTGTCCTTTATTTGGAAACAGCTCATATCTCTAGGATTTCAGAAATGTTTCTGTACTTTTCAGCCTAAAACTAAAAGCTAACATTTTATTTTTTTTTCTCTAAAAACAAACAATGGTTTGGTTAGGTGGCCTACAATGTCACTGTCATTAAGTGTCCCTAACTGTCACCCTTAGGGACAGCGACATACTTTGAACAACGCCGTCATGAGGGGGTTAAAGCTCAGCTTCATTGTAAGGGGTTAATTTTTTATAATAATTATAGTATACAAATATATTTATATATATTTTTAATTTAATTTTACACTTTTTTTATTTTTTTACACTTTACAATTTTTTATTTTTGTTGTTGTCTATTATATCAAGCAGTCACTATGACTGCTTGCTAATTTGATTCATTTTTTTAAACATTTTTGGTTATTATTAGGCTGCTCCAAACAATAATAACCTTAGTGACACTGATCCTGACAGCATGACAGGATTAGATCTCACTAGGCTTCTGATCGTCCTCATCAGAAGTTTGATACATTTCAGCAAAAGAAATACATTGTTTCTTATTGCTGGCTGAAGAATGTAACAAAAGCCTATAAACTTCAGGACTTGCCTGATGTCTATAGAGCTGTCAAAAGTGAAATAGCAGAGCAGTGAGTCATGTTCTGCTTCTGCTATTTCACCTGTAAAATACCGGATCACCGGTATTTGTAACAGCTTCTTTCTTTCATTGATGGAAGAAAGAAGCTTTTACAAAAGCTTAACTATATTAATGGATGCCTCAATACTGAGGCATCCATTAATGAACAGTAACTGCTGATTCTCAGCGTTTACTGGCATTTCAAACCCCTGAATAGCTGCTCACGTACTCTGTACGCGAGCAGTCATTTGGGCACTTCACGATGGAGACGTACAGTGTATGTCTCCAGTCGTAAAGGGGTTAATGATGTAATATATGCATTAATTTCTGTCTCTTAAAGCTGCCTGGATTTCACTTTTCACCACTGGATATAGTATATGGTCAGTCTAAGAAACCAGAAAAACGTTTGTTTCTACAGAGCACATCATGCTAGCTTTCTTATCAGTGATACCTCTGTGATTTCTACACACCTTTGTTTCATGGAGGTTTGAATGTAGATGGACATTGCTTTAGTTGTGCTTAGCTCATTAATGATTTCAAAATGCCTCTTGCTCACAACTGTCCCTGAACAGGCATCCAGCACCAGGAAGAAGAGTCCTCCCCTCTTAAACAAGAATATTTCCTCGTCAACCTAAAGACAGAAACAAGGATCAGTCACAAAGCGACACTAAGATCAGATCAGGCTTTCTAAGAGTCAACCAAATGTGAGGCCATGTACCTGACACTTACATCCATACATCATTTTAGCAATTACCAGCTTGTGGGGAGGGGGGGGGATTTCAGTGGTAATGTGTAGGAATTTGGAGATTAGCAGGTAAATTACAGCTTATCTTTCAGTTTACTGAAACTGTATACAAGGTTATATCATGGCACAAAACATATGTTGTGAAATCCCTAAACTAGGTGTCTCTGGTTTGTGTGTCTGCACTGTAACTGGGCATGCTGTAGCGGAGAGGTTTACCCGTGAATGATACTTTCTTATTAATAGCTGTGTTACAATGGTCTAAATGTCTTTGGTTACTTAGAAATAATAGCTTCATGTTATATGTGATGTGTATCAAGTAAAAGACCTGTCACAATGGCTGTTATCTGTCACAGCTAAGGCTCCCATTTAGTACTGGAGGATGCCATTAACAGATTCATGAGAGCTGTGTCCAGGGGTGTCCCCAGTCTTTTCAAAGCCTAAGGCGGGGCAGCGGGGTATATGGGTGCCAGTGGTGCATGTTAACAAGGGGGGCATGAGGGGGTTGGGTGCTCTGGCTCCTGTTCTAGCTAGCATCCCACCCAGTGATGTCACTGGTTGCCCAGAGCTTGGCAGGCAGCTGCTAGAGCGTCCCACTCAGCTCCTGGCAACCAGTGACGTCACTGGTTGCCAAGAGCTGGGCAGGATGCTGGCCAGAGTGTCCGAGGTTACTAAGAGCTGGGAGGGGAGATGTGTATGACCCCACTCGGCTCTTAGCAACCTGGGATGCTCTGGCCGGAAAGGGGGCGACAGGCACACTGCAAACATTGTGCAGCAGAGCAACATTGCTGCTCTGCCTGCTGTCCCCCCACGTGACCCAAATAGATGCTGCTTGAGGCAATAGCCACAGGCTGCCTCACTATAGGGACCAGCCTGGCTGTGTGAATTCCAAGGCAGAGCAGACTTGCGTAGCATCCTTTCCACCCGTGCTAAATTTGGGAATGGGTTAACAGTAGCCCCCAGCTCTGCATGGAAACCTAGTCTGTTGCAAGTTAAAGCAGGCATACCAGGCACCTTTAAATCTTAGATATGAGCAATGGTCATTTGATCTCATTCAGAACTTGCAATGATTCAGACACTGTCCTATCTTTTTATCATTTATATATGATCCAGTAACAGTGTAGTGCAGAATATTCAGTATTACCTTAATGAATGCAGACTTCATCTTACTGAATAGATCTTCTCTGCGGAGGGACTGAATATGTATCTTAGTATATTTAATGGATGGAGTGCTAGATACTGCAACCTGCAGAGACATTAATAACAGAAGCGGTAAGTAAATATCAGATGTAGTGGTATCAAGTCCATAAAGGATGATATTCTACAAATCATGAACAAGCTTGTGTCATGAACAAAGTACGGGGGGGGG